CCAAATTTCCCCAGATTAGGTGATACCTTCTTCCCCGCTATTCAGAATATAAGCAATAGGAGCATACCAAGCTCTTTCATTTGCACACCTGTTAAAGGGATAGGTTGCATTCACCTTGTGCTTGAGTTCAATGCTTGATGGTATAAAATAGTTATCTTAATGAGAGTTTAATGTAACATTATGCCTTTTGCCTCAAATTAGTTTGTTAACACTGTTCTGTATCTTCGCAACTTGTACTTTTCTAATTCTTTATTTTCATCCATTTCATATGTGATATAGCCAGCAGCCATATCACTCTGCAACTCACAACTGGCAACCTATTGAAGCTAAGCAGGTGTGAGCCTGAAAGGTACCTGGATGGGAGACCTCCTGGGAAAAAAAAAGGTTGCTGCTGGAAGAGGTGTTAGTGGGGCCAGCAGGGGGCGCTCACCCTGCGGTCTATGTGGGTCCAAATGCCCCAGTATAGTGACGGGGATGCTATACTGCAAACAGGTGCTGTCCTTCGGATGAGATGTAAAAATAAGGTCCTGACTCTTTGTGGTCCCAGGGCATTTCTCGAAAAGAGTAGGGGTGTAACCCCCCATCCTGGTCAAATTTCCCATTGGCCCTTACCAATCATGGCTTCCTAATAATCCCCATCTATGAACTGGCTTCATTACTCAGCACTCCTCCCCACTGAGAGCTGATGTGTTGTGAGTGTTCTGGGACACTATGGCTGCTGTCTCATCATCCAGGAGGATGCTGAACATTGGTGGTGGTGGTGGGGAGTCCCCATTACCTGTAAAAGCGCTTTGAGTGGAGTGTCCAGAAAAGTGTGATATAAGTGAAGGCAATTATTATTATTATTTCCTCAAAAAGCATTTGCTTGTATTAATGTTATTTCTAATAAACTCACCTATTTTAATAAACTGAAGAAGTCCTGATTCGAATTCAAGCAGATCAACCTCACCGCTATCTTGAATTTGGTTTGTTAAGCATTGTGTTAATTATCACATTAACCTGTTTTCAGAGGACATGGTCACATAAGGGAATATTGTATAAACAGTATCTTAAATTCACATCCAATATCTATGTTATATTCTGACTTATGTAGGCTTTACTCATGCTAAGTGTGATGCTGCTGCGGTCATTGCTTTTCCTGAAGCCTCGTTCATATTTTGGAAGCTATTTCTTCTCCAAGGGAGAAGCCGGAGCAAGAACCTGTGCTGCAGAGATGGAGAAGGCAGTGAAACTAAAACCAATCACTGATCTGAGGTACAAGCTGCTGTATTGGAATACAAGCCACAGCGCTGAGACAAAGCCCTGTGCTGAGATTTAAACCACTGGGCCGGGAAACATGTTAGAGTGCTGGTATATAAACCAATATGCTGTGATACCATTTGCTGTGTTGGAATAGAAGCAGTTATTGAAGATATTCTGCACTGTAAATAAAGTACACTTTGGACTTCAGACTTGTGTTTGGATGTATTAAATTATGATATAATTTAAACCTTAATATAGTGCATTTTGATAAACAAATATTTATTAACAATTACAGTGACACACACTACTCTACACACAGCATAAACATACAACACACAATTTAGTGTATTTACAGACAAGACGTTTTAGAGATCTAGATCTACCAGAAAGCCCCAGACTGCTAACTTGCTAGGGTTGGGGTATGTATTTGGCTCTTTAATAATGCCTACAGAGGTCAAAGAATAGGTTAAACTGCCTTCTAAAATAAAAGGAATACAATCTACAATTGAACCTCTCTAAACGGGATGCCACAAAATGATTGTGACGCTATCTCCCTATTGTACTGCAAAATGCACCAACCAAGGTGCTCACCCAGCAGGAGAGGCAGTTTTAAACAAATTAATTTCTTTACTCAGGAACTCCAAGTACCCTTAAAGCTACAGAATAGCAAGCTCTATTAGCAAGATTCAAATACCTAACTCCATTCGGGTTTTTTCCGGATGATCCTGCAGTAGGGACTCGGCAGCACAGTTCTGTCTGTTTCTCTCTCTCCTCTCTCTCGTGTGGTCCTCTCTCTCGTGTGGTCTGCCCTTTTTCTTTTCCCGTTTTCACAGTCTTTTTCTTCTGTCTTGATCTGATCTTATATAGTGTCTTTCTGGAATATTGAATTACACTTAATCAGAACCTAATCGATTTGTCAGGAAACCAAGGTAAACTTCATGGTTGCTTTGTTAACAGACTCAGGACCTCCTGCATCTCAGCACACATCCCCTGTGCTTTGAAGCTGGAAATGTTTACGGTGCCAGGTGCTACACTCTTTATCTACAGTCTTAAAACACCCCGATTGGCATCTATCTCAGCCTGTAACAATATACAGTACATAATGTTTCAGTGAATTATTTAACCATAAATGTTGTAAGTCTTATTTCTACGACCTTACGTGTTTTAAAATCCAGAAAATTCCTCTCAGTACTTGGTACAGTTTTGTCAGCCTTACAGTATGTGGATGAGTGCTACACTAGCAATTTTCCAGTCAACTTTCCTGTCCTGAGTGACTTTACTAAATCATTATCTTTCATGACATTCAAAAATTCTTGACAGGTTAAAAATGATTAATACTATACGTAAGCCCCTTTTCTCCCTCACACTTGACGTTTGCATCCCTCCTCTAACACCTTTGCAGCAGCCTGGTTTGGGCTCAGATTCCATGTAAAATCCAGCACTTCAGAGGAGCAGCACTGTTTTGTCACCCTTCTATGGATGTGGCCATTACAATTACTGAAGGAGTGGAAATGCTGCACCAAAGCAAACAATGGCCAGAAAGCATTCTTTACTGAAGCTTTTTAATGTAGAACTTCCCCCCAAAAACGTGGCAAATAAAAAAGTGGCAAATAAAAAAGTGGCAAATAAGTGGCAAAAAAGCCACTTATTTGGCAGGTGAAACAGATTAGAAGGGTGTTCAGTATTATTAAGGCTACAAATGGAACTCTAATAGAACAGTGATGATGATAAAAAACAGTATGAAAAACACTATAAAACCTGGTGCCCACAATATTTTTCCCCCTTTGAACACTGGTGAAAAGATGCAGGTTTTTGGATGCAGTTATGTAATAATATAACTACCAGAGTGAGACAAGACAACAAGTGCTATCGTCTTTCTGTATTTGTGGAAGGAAGGTAAGACGCACGCCAAGGTTTGTAGCAAAGCAACAAAAAGAAATTCAACAAGTCATGTTTCACTTTCTTTTTGTTATTGTGGTAACCATTTTATGTAACTGAAACAAAGATTTTTGTCGGTAGCCTGAAAACAACATTTAAAGGTAGTAAGGGAAAAAGTAACGGTTTTCCTTGCTTACAAAGAAAAGAGAGAGAGAGGAATCGGGCAGGCTGAATATGTGACGGTGAACTGAGCCAATATAAAGCAGGGTGAGGACTGTCTGGAAAAAAGGGAGAAAGTCCAGCAGGAGAGAAGATGAGAAGCACAGATGAGAGGCGCCTCAGCGAGACAGACAACAGCTTCAGCTGAAAAAAAAGTAAAAAAAAGTTTAGAGGATAAAGACTTCGGAAGGCTGACAATAGCTTACCGCAGTGAAGGGGAGTCTCCTCTGGTTCAATGCAGAAAGAATAGAAAAATGGCTTTTAAAATAGATTAAGTGAATACATTTGTTCCAGTAGCTCAATGTCGCAGCAATAATGTGGATAAAGCTGCCTTAAACAGTCAGCCTAATGAACTGATTGAGAGGACGATTGGCTATCTACAGTACTTTTAAGGTAGCCAGTGTAATAGAGACACCTCCTGATTTTGTTCGCACAGGGTCGGAGAAAGGCAGATAACTTACAATATTATGCGAATGTTCAGGTTGCTCCTGGCAACTGAGGGATGTATGCTGCTCCCAGCCCAGGTGTAACAATATCAGTCCATTCCAGGAATGTTTGTTTTACAATTACCTCCAAGCCAAGAGTCAAACTGGTGTTAAAAAGGCAGAGGTCTATCTTGTTTTTTTTTTTAATCGGCACAAAAAAAATCGTTCTTGTTGTTAGCTTATAATAGAAAATACTAACTTTACAGTAAAGAAAAAAGTAAAGAAAACAGGGTTTTCATGCTTACGTACTAAACAAGATTAAGACTAATAATGATGCTTGTTGCAATTTTCAATGTTCAATAGTGAATTGTGGTGGTACTTACGAGGATCCTCTTATTAGAGCTTCTTATTAGGGAAATGTTTTTATTAGTATCAGTTATTATTATTTCTCTAAGCTGGGTTTACATTTCTTTGACCTTGAAAAATATATGCTAAGTTCTGTTAGTCATCGATATAACCCTTGTCAGGACAATCGGCTTTCTGGAGCAGAACCTGAAGAAAATTGTCTGAATAATGGTGAATAATCTTTGCATGAATAATGGTGACTTTAAGTGCTCAGCTTAGTTTTGGATCTGTTTAGGTGACTACATGAACTAGTTACAATAACAAATAAATTCTGAATATGAATGCCAGTGATATTAAATCTGTTGTGGATATTTGAGTTAATTTCTGTTTTGACTGAATATGTCTGTGTATTAGGTGTTTTTTTTTTAAAAGAGACTTTTTCTAATTGTATTCATGACTACAGTCTAAGTAAATAAAACACTAAAATATAAAACATTCTACTTGTCCTGCAGAAGAAACCTCTCAAATAGAAGACTGTCAGAGGTTAGAATGGGGTGAAAGTTGAAGTGCAGAAATGACCCACACCAATCGACATCTCTTTGTTATTAATTCATGACACTTGTTTTTTATGGGTGTGCCCTTAACTTTGAGAAAAAGTAACAGAGAATGTGAATGTGAAAGGGGACAGTGATTCTTCTTATAAACATATATTTGAGTAAAGTAATTATTAGTATTGACATCATTCAATGTCGCAGCAATAATGTGGATAAAGCTGCCTTAAACAGTCAGCCTTTATTGTCCTGTTGTGAATATTTCTACATATATTTTCTTCATCATTAAGATTTTTGATGCAGTGAGGTGTAAAGAAGAATCTTGAAAACAGGTTTGCTCATAATGTTTTATTGTTTGCATATAACATATCTACCAATTACATGCTTTAGAGATTTCCTTTCCTCAGTGGCAGTGTTCACCTTATATCTTAAGAAAGAGTCCGAATGATCCACGTGGTCCACACACAGCAGCCCAAAGTCATTTAATTGTATGCGATGGTCTAGAAAAAAAAAATATATATCAAAAGGGTGTTTTAACAATAATGCAATAATTGAGACATTTATGAATTTAAAATAATAAATTATTCAAATCTAACATTTAAAATGTTTCAAAAGTTTGATCTGTTTTGATCCAATTCATCTAAACTTTTAATTGTACAGATTGGTCAATACAACAAAATCTCAATATTGTGATGTAAAAAAAAAACTAGTATCAACAGAACACATTGTCCTGTAAAACACAAAACTACCCAGTTTGCTTACTCACATTGCTGATCCAAGTAGTGTAAGCTGAGATGCGAGTGAAGACACTGGGCTTCTGGTAAACATTGCAGCCCAGTGAAGACATAAAAGACATAATTCCATGAACCTCATATCTTCCATTTGTGTAGCAGTTCAGGGCTCCTCCACCATCGCCCTGAAAGATCATTGTGGGATTCAAAATTAGATTTATGGGCCCAACCACAGAGATGAGGCAGTGCAACCTCTATGCACACACTGCACTGGGTAGATCAATGCAGTCATATGAAGAACAGAGAAATACTGCTTTTATGAACAATATTCTTGTTTTCAGACTGAACACAGCAGTGAGGTAAATTATTTCACTAGAAATAGAAGCAAATAGTCTAGTATGAGCCTTTAATGCTTGTTTTCTTACATTTCTGCAACTCATTAAAATCCACATTTTCAAGTTTGTTTCAACAGTATCTTGCACTGTTGGACTGTTGATCAAAGTGATAGTTTTGTAGAGGGAATACTTACATAACAGGCTGCTCTGTAGCCATCACCACCGGCGCAGATCATGGTGGACTTTACTGTAGATCCCCACCAGGAGCTGCTGGAGCAGGTGGCGTAGTCCACAGTGGGGAGGTAGCCCTGCTGGAGGGTAGCTGACAGCTGTCCATAAGCTGCAGACAAAATTCATGTAACTGGCCAAAATTCATGTAACCACTCTGTCACCCTGCCACAATTCAACAAACCCCTTGAGTAATATTTTCTATTTGGATAAACAAAGATGATGATATGCGGAAGTATATCAGATTATATTTATTAAATAAATTATTCTCTTGAAATTTCCCTTCAACATGTACGCTCAGGAAATATTTTCTATTGTTAAAGAAGACATAGATGTGAAAACTATGAACCCTTACTTAACTGTATTTTTCAGATACATATAAAAAACACAACCAAGAAGAGAGAGAATTTTATATTGACTACTTATTTTCTAAATCTAAAAAATGGATTATCAACGATTTTATATCACCCTCCGCCCCCTTAATATAAAATCCTAAGTGAACACTTAGCTTTATAACTTCAGTCCCTGTATTTCACAGCAGTTTTTCAGAAGTGCTAAAACCTGAATGTGTTATTACCATGTGGCTTCAATATCCTGATCTTCCCTTTTGTTTACAAAATTGCAGATTATGACAGAAGTCAATTAACCAGCTAGTATGTCTTTATACAGTCAGAGGAAACCCATATGAAATATGGAGAGAACATACAAACTCCACACAGACAGCACCCCAGGAACTGAACCCAGAGTCCAGGATGGTGAGGCAACAAAGCTAACCACTCTGTCACCCTGCCACAATTCAACAAAACCCTTGAGTAATATTTTCTATTTTGAAAGACATAGATGATGGTATGTGGAAGCATATCAGATTATATTTATTAAAGAAATTAAGAAATACAATACAGTAAATAAATAATTTACTGTATGCTGAAATATTTTTTGCAGGTTTCTGGCTGCAGTTTCTGTACTACAGAGCAGTCAGGACCTGCAGACATTCTCCCTGTGGAAAACCTAAACCTACCCATTAATTCAACCGGTAAAACAGGATTTATTTTACCCACTATACTATAGCTGTGCAGTATCCCCAATAGTTTCATAATCTATTCTCTTTTTATTGAATGCCTTTGATTAATAGATTCTTGACCCTGTATTTATTATCTATAATGTTTCAATTGTTAAGTCCTAAATGCAGTATGTTGTTATCAGCATGCTTCAATGGACTTATGTTCCCTTTTGCTTCCAAAATAGAACATTATGACAGACTATGTTTTCCTGTTACAAACTTACTGCTGGTACGTCCCCAGCCAGTGATGTAGCAAAAGTTGTTATGGGGAAGGATAGCGCCACTACTGGGCAGTGTTGCCACAGAGACGTAGGAGTTCAGAACAGCATTCTGGGTCAGCTTCAGCAAGGCAATGTCATATCTGCACACAACACAGAGAGCACAGGAAGAGACCAATTCATGATACTGTATTGGAACTCCGTACAGACCATCATACATACAGCTGTTTCATTCAAATTTTCATGTAGAGTGTCATAGCACTATTTTTCTTTTTTTGTGGATACACATTCTTATCATTCTCAATCTTAATAAATCACTCTCTCAACAATAATACCAAGCAATTACCAGCATATTATTTTAGCAGATTGAAAAGCTGGGGGTATACAGGTGGGATCAGATGCAGCACACAGGAAGTGACACAGAGGGACTAAGGCAACAGGTAGCCGTTTTGTCTTGCAGAATCCCCTATCCTGTGTCCAAGTCCTGTAACTCTTTAGGGTGAAAATAAGCATGATAACTCATTTTTTCTTTACTTTACAGCAACATCACTCCTCCACAGCTCTTTGTCAGCTTTCTACCAGTTATTTATAATTTAATTGAAAGGGTTACAGTTAAGGATACATACCCTGCAGCAAGGTTGTTAGTCCAGCTGGGATGAATGACCTTTCTTTCCACAGGAATGATTTGCTCCTGTCCTTCAATCCCATAAATATTGTGATCCCCCAGGAAAGCAACCAAACCTTCACTGTCCAATGAAAAGGTATTAATTTTGACAAAGTGTCTTTACTAAGAACACACTCAGCTACTGTACATGGTAATTCCACCAAATAATAAAACAGAGCCTTTATATATCCTGAAAAGAGACAGGAGCTTAACAGCAACATTAACCACTTCCTTAACACTTCTTTGTGAAACCAAATAATTAACAATGTTTTATGCTTGGAACTCATATTTAATTATTAAAATATCCACATTCCATCTTTTTGGAAAGACTTACATAAATATAATGAAGTGAGATGATATCCTGATGCCTTTTCAATGAACAATGTTTTTATTGATATTGATATTGACTATTGATCTTTTTAAATTAATTGATGTTCTAAATTGTTTTCCTACCTTCCAGCACAAGAGGCAGCTGTCAGAACCCAGCGACTATGGATCAGGACTCCACCACAGTTGTGGGAATAGCAGTCACTTGAGCTAACACGAATGGACACCTGAGTAGGAGGAATAAAAACACTAAGTCGGAACCAGACTGTCCACATTCAATTAAGAAACTACATTTACTTATTTCTTTATTAAAAATATAAACCTCTTGCGGCTTATCTTAAAGCTGTAAATATCCGATTTCACTTAAAATCACCATCACCGAACATACGTTGGCCTACTACTAGACAAAGTGTCCTTAAAGTAGCTTTTCCTGAGCAGTGCCAAATGCTATTGAGAGACAATGGTATGAACTTGTCTTAAGTAAATCCTCCTGCTTTACTGTTGCTTTCTAAACACTGCTCCCTTACCTGCCAAGGCCAAGAATTGGGTGTGGCCATCACCCCTCCCACAACACGCAGCACAGTTTTATTCTGAGCATCACTTGCCTGCCCTGCAAACAATTGTGAACATATGGTAAGTGGTCATTGATTATCATCCCTTTTACAATATTCTTCTGATATACAAACTTGCATTAATAATACCTGGAAGCGAATAGAATATATAGAGAATATAGAATAATAGGATTAAAAAAAAATTGGGATAAGGATGTAAATCACTATGAAAGAAATTTGATTTGTTTAAACTGGAATGAAATGACAAACTGGAATGAAAAAGACAAGTTGTTGTCTCCACTTGCAGAGAAAGAAATACAATACTAATGATATAAACCGCAGTCATGTTAAATTTAACTTACCAGGCAGAATAAGAACTGCAATTAATACAACATAGGGAAGCATGATGGCAGTTGTCGTTCTTCTCTTGGTTAGTTTTCAACGGATTTTAAAACTAATATTTATACCCCCAAACACTTAAAATCCCACCCATGTCTTCACCTCATTTACAGGAAAAGGAGAGGCTCTTCCCATAAAGACACACTGAACAGGTTATGTTAATCCTGCCCCTACTGTACACATGTTTATTTGTGTTTTTCTTTTTTCTTTTTTGTGATAATAGTATGATAAATTACTACAGTATATTCATAATAGACCAATCAATTATACTTAAAATATGTATATATACATCCAACACACAGAACAATGAGGAATGCAAAGTTTAAAAATGAAAGTAACTGTTAAGAATTTTGAAAAAACTAGAGCTCTGGATTGTGATTGTTTGGCAATTTACTTTGATATTTATTCACTTTGGTTATTGTTTAACGAACTGGTCATATGAGCAATGTACAGGCATCGGGATGACGTACAGCCATATCTAACCAAAAAGTTAATTATATTGACTAATGCAGAAATCCTATGTGCAAAGTTTTACAAAAGCATATGTTTTTTGCCTTCAAAATGTGTAGTGAATAAGCAATTTTTCTAGTATGTACAGTACTGTACCTTGCATATCATTTTCATATAACTGTAATAAGAATATCATATTTTAATTATATTTTATCTAGAATGATGCCTAAAAAGTGGGAAATTCATTTACTGAACAGGATAAATATACAACTAGTATCATGATTGTTAATGAAACTTGTCAAGCAATCAGTCATCTGCTGCAGCGGATGCCAAGGCAATTTTAGAAGATATCAGTCAGACCACCAGGTGAATGCAGGAGCCCAATTTTGCTCCTGTATGAGATGAATAAATTGCACGTTAAGAAATACCCTTCTTACCAAATAGGTTTCCCATATCCCCAATTAAAGCAAAGTAAAGATGCAATGTGGATGAACTAATAAACTAATAACTAATAAAATTGCCTGCCTGAGGAAACATCAGGATGAGGCTGA